CAGATAGGTCGGGACTTGTCATGAAGATACAGCAGTATCTCTGAACAGAATCACCGCCTTACTGTCCCAAAATCGAGAGTAAACCGTGGAAACCACCCATGACCACACACTATCCGTGCCTTTTCAGTGCCAACGACGCCACGATTATCGGGAAACCAAATGGCGAAGTTGTTCGGGGTGATCCAACCGGACCCACTCGGCGTGTCAGCAAGGAGATACGCCGGTGTCCGCTCTTTGTCTGGAAGCGGCAAGTTGGCTTAAAATTCACCCGTCGAGAAAAAGACTTAACACCGAACTCGCACGCCTCTGTCAACGCGAAAAACGAACAAACACAGCGTTTATTGCCCCGCTTTTGCTCCGCCGCCCTCTGCACCACGAAGAGGCTACTACAGTAGAAACAACGTTAAGGGTACCGTTAACGCCCCACGAGACTGGCGACCCAAAGAGAGAGAAGAACCCCGTTAACCCTGCCGTCGCACCTGAACCCTTCCCGCGTTGGGTGCTTGCCCCAGGAGGCGGTCCACGACATGGTGCTCCTGGTACGCGAGAACCCCGCGCGGAAGAAGGCGTTCTTGACGCTGTTCCGCTCCCAGTGGCACTTGAACAGCAGCCGCCTCGACCCCAGCGGCTCCGAGAAGTAGACGTTGTTGAAGCGGGCCATGCCGAGCTCCTTGGGGTACTCGAAGAAAACCGTCGGTGACCGGTCGGGGAACATGCTGGGGACGAGCTTGACCTCTCCCGGGATCGGCTCCAGCGGGTCGTCGGCGTCGGCGTCGGCGTCGCCATCGCTGCTGCTGCTGCCGCTGCCGTCGTTGTCGCTGTCGTTGTCGCTGTCCGACGGCGACGTCGTCGAGTCGACGTCTTGCGCGTATCCGGCGTCCGACCCGTCCCCTTCGTTCGAGCGGCTTCCTCCCTCTGCTGCCCCTTCCTCTCCTACCCCCCGCCTCCGTCGTCGCCTTTCCCGCATTCGCGCAGCTGCAGCGGCGTTGTCGTTGTACCCGGGGTCGGTATGCGTTGCTGCTATCGCCTTTGGTTTTCTTCTCCGTCTTGCAACATCCCCGGTTCTGCTCGATCGCCCCGAGCGGCAGCAGCTGCTGCTGCTCCCGTTGGCGTCGGGAGAAGACGAAATCGCGTCGCCCCCACCCCCACCCCCACCCCCACCCCCACCGTCTCCTCCGCAAACGCTGGCGTCGCTGGCGTCGCTGGCCGTATCGCTCCACTCCGCGCTGGCGCCGCCGAACTGGGTGCTCTCGTCACTTCGGCCACCATCGCGGCAATCGTCGTCGTAGTCGTCGTTGTCGTTGCCTTCGGGGCCGGTGGAGCTATCGCCGCCGCCGTCGCCGCTCGGTCGCTGTTGCGGCAGCCGCAGCGCTCTCTCTCGCCGTTCTCGCCCCGGCTCTTGCTGAGCGGCGGTGGTGGTGGTGCCAGCGGCGGACATGGGGCGACGATTCCGTTCGCGACGTTGTAGTATCGACCGACGCAGCTGCTCCCCTGTGCGAGGAAGAGGGGCGCGCAAGTTGAGGGGCGGGGACGGCAGCGGCGTCGTTGCCAAGGGTGGCTGTGAAGGAGAGGCTTAAGTTGCGGGGAGGATCGGTAGCAGTTTCCAGAAACATCTCCCCTAGTAGTTTCCGGAAATGTCTCTGCAAGAAAGCCGGGGTATTTCAAGCTCCGTGATTCTGTTGCGTTTTAGCCATTCTCGGCTGGGGAAAATGGCTTCAAGGAAGCTTCGCCGGGAAACGTGAGGCACGCAATCAACCTGCACGCCTCCGCACAGGGCACCAAGGATTTGTGGTTGTACCGGGATGTGTTGGGTACGGTGTAGTCGCGTTCGGTTCGCGTTGAGAGGGAGTCGGTTCGGGGGGGGTAGCGGGTTGTTGTTGTCTTCAAATTAAAAACCGTTCCGTTCTCTCTGCCCAGTACCTTCTTCTGTCCGTACTTGACGGGGTCGATTCCCGTGGTCACAGGCTGGCTAACTTACCCAAAGAAGGTATACGAAAATAAAGATGACCCGATGGGTCCGCAAGCCAATAAAAGTCAACGACAGATAGTCTAGGCCACTCCGCTCGCCTCTACGCGCTATAGCGGGTAGAATCCTCAGGAACGATACGGTTGCCGCTGGTGGGAGTCCCCTTTCAAGCGTACATCGCACGTAGGAAAGTAGCTTGCTGCTCTCGACGCTGGATCAGATCACTAGCGCACCGGGTACAGAGCAACACCCCGTGGGTGGCGAGTAAACGACGGCATGGTGTCAGCCAGCACCATGCTTCGTGCTTGTCGTCCACCACAAGGGTGCAAATTATCATCAGTTTCATTGCTACCCCCCTTCGTTCCCACGCCCTCAAAAATTGTTGCCAAGAGAAGGCGGCCAGGCATCGATCGCCCTAAGGCGCCTCAAGTATCCCATTTCGATGTTCCCCAGCAACGGGCCTCCCAGTGGAAAACCATGGAGCTCCCCCCCCGCCCCCCGGACCAAGATTGACGCCCAGGATCAGAAGGTTGCATGGGTCGCTTGCTGCAGTCTAGTGTATAGGGTTTTGTGTGTCCATAGTAAAACCTAAATTCTCCTCTTGTGTAGGCTTTCGTGTCGCACTATAAAACCCTCTTTATTCTATTATTGTACGTAGGTTTACAATAATATGTCACTAATAACTGATCGGAGCAAAACACGGGGGTCTATATAGACTATGTGGGTTCAAGTTTGGCCTATGCCTCACTACATCCCATATGACAAAGCATGTATGCATACTACGAAGTATAGGTTTACGCATAACATTCTAAATCCTATACATACAACAGACCCCGCGACCAAAGATTGAAGCGTGGCCTGGGGGTGCTCCTATGTGTCCACCGGGACCCCTTTACCTGCGAGCGCATCCCCCGTAGAAAACCACAAAGTTCAGGCAACTATGGAGCTTGCCTCCGCAACCCCCTCCTCTCTGCCGCTGTGAGCCAGACTATTAGGACAACGTATCATATTGTAGCACAAGTCTGCTCCTCGGCTTCTTTCACCGGAATCTTGCGTTCAGAATATGTTCGGAGTATGCTCTATGCAGTTTATGTTATGTCTACAGAAGTAGTGCATGTAGCAGAGAATTTGGAAAGCGTTCCAGCAGTTCGCCGTCTCCCACGCCAGGCAAAACGTTCAAAACCAAAGGTAAAGTTGTTGCAGACGGAGTTGGACCTGGCAGCGTAATCATCAACAGGACTACTGTGGTCTCCAATCGGTCGATGATGTAGAAGGATTGAAGTATATACAATATGCTGTATGCATAGTCTACATATATACAGTTGACTACAACAGCAGTAGCAGTAGTGTAGCAGAAACAACAACACCTCGCGGGACTCGATTCGATGGAACAGCAGTCTGGACATCTATATGTACGCTGCTAGCATATTCTGGGAGACTTTATTCTTGAACTTGATGCGGGTAGGGAGGGCCTCACAACACAAGCGTTTGGACACACGGCAGTAGTGCCACGATAGAGCGCAACATGTCCTGTGTGCAAGACCCAACCATTCAGAGCACCCTCGTTGTTGCAGCAATGCGTATGCTAATGTACCCCGCGCGGTCTGGCGGCCGGAGGAGAGTTGGCCCGCAGGCAACAGTCTAGTTGCAAGAAGAGAGCAATCCAATCTAATGGGCGAACTGAAGCAGGTACTGGCGAATTCCGTTGTTGCACCATCTTATGGTAGAGATCAGTAGTCTCGGCTGGCACACCGAACGCTGGTCGCGTGGGCTTTTCCTTTAGTCTAATCGCTTTCAAGGTTATGTGGAAGAAAAACAAAAGACGTTGGTGTGCCAGGTGATTCTAGGAATAAGACCTCCTTCCCGCACCTTTCCAGGCGGGTTTCGAAGCAGTATCTCTCACAGCAGTGGCCACGCCGGCCTAGCGTGAGCTCGCTCGGCACCTCGTAGCATGCCCCCTTCTCGAGTACGCCATATTTCCCAGTCGGTGCTTTGTGTGCAAGGCGGTGTGCGGGTGTGTACATACGTACATGCACCCGATCAGGGAACCACCCACCACCTCGGTTACGTTTCAGAAGAGTTATTGCGCCGCTTCTGCTTCGTGTGCACACATGTGCATGCAACATCCTTCATACACGCATGTACATGCGAGGATATAACCTCGTGCGTCGTGGCGTTTGTGGCAGAAAGGCGGGTGCGAGGTCCAGTTGTTGTGGCTCGCACGAGAAACGTCTAGGGGATTTTTTTGTGCATGTCTGCCGATAGACGACGATGGCGACGGTCGCCCGTATCGCCTCTGGCGCACTCTATCCGAATGGATGCCATCAGGCAAGCCAACATCTACCCCACCTGTCGGTTGGACAAAAGCAGCCGGGCTGTGTACGAGCCGGAAGACGTGTGGGCGAAAAAGGCCGCTCTAGTCAGGCCAGACTCGCGGTCGCATGCGAGTAGCGTGAGGGCGAGGGGAATGTTCAAGCAGAAGGTTCTGGCCATCAGCACAACCGGGGTGACCAAAGCGAACATGGATACGGTCGACCGATTCAAGGAGGTATGCATACTTCACTCAATACTGCTGCACCGTTGAGTACGAGCAAGCCTCCGTGTTCATAACGTTGCGTCGTCAGTGATGCCGAACAGTAGCAATCGTGCGAATTTCACAGCTATGGTGTGCTCCCGCTGCCCTCTCGTGTGCGGCGGGTGGTCTGGAACTGTGTGACTGCTTACATACAAAGTTGTGTAGTCACATGCTAGACGATGATGGGTTCAACTGCAAGAAGCCAAGGTTCATCGGGCCGGGTACATAACAGGTGGCCCACAAAGGCAAAATTCAGTCTTGCAGGGGATGAAATGACAAATCTTTAAATAGCAGAAAACTACTGTATTATAATCGCTCTTTTCGCAGCTCGAACGCTCCGTCTAAGGTCGAGGCAGTGTCCCTTCGAATGGCGCAATGTCTCAAAATAGAACAACTGCATACATGCGGTTCAAAGCTTCGGGCAGCCAAACTTGAGCCTCGGGCAGCTAACTGCATCGAACCAAGCGAGCTTGAATCCTCCTCTAAGCTGGTATTTGGGGTGATTGTGGAAGACAAAATCGTTCCGATATTTTCTTTGTGCTGCAACAGCAATGGTGCCAGCCAAAAAATCATAAAAAAAGGCCTGTGCCGTGCCGTGCCCTGTAGACTACGCTACTGTACAATACCTTCGGAGTCAATGTGCTGTCAGTACTATATGCGGCGGTCGCTCAAACGTTTGGTGAAAAAGGCGTTCATAAGTGGTGGCGTTGGCATTGATGGTGCAGTACCAGATTTTCCACCCTTCCAAAAAATGTTTTCCTGCCTGTCGCTTCCTTTGCTCTTCGATGTTCTGCTCCACCGGCGGATCGGGCAAAGAGCATGTTTCGTTCGCCACTCTCTCCAAAAAATGCTGCATCGACTCGCATGTGCCTCGCTTCTCGCACTGCAATAATGAACGTAACGCTGTTCCGTTTGGTGAATGTTGGAGCAAGCTTGTAGAGGAAAGGAGTGGAAACTTTTTCCGTGATTGCCCTGAAGCGACATGCTCGCGCCGTGTATTTGCTGGTGCCGTGTGGATCAGACAGTCGCGGTGCTCATGAGAAGCAAAGAGCGAGCGGCAGACATCGGGAGGGCGGAGAGACGCGTGCTTCAGCCAGAAATGGCACGCAGGATGGACCGGATGAACGCTGTCAAGAGGGCAGAATTTGAGAAGCAGGTGCAACAGGCTGTGGAAAAGGTTGTCCATGCCGCGAAGCGGCGTTACGTTCGGCGACAGGAGAAATTGGATGATGCAGGAATCTTCCACCCTCAGGCAAACGCGCAAAGGTAATGACGCGTTTCGGTGGAGCTTTGCTTGGCGTTTCATTCGCACAGTGAGGCCTAGACGGCGACGAAACCGCTCCGAACACGGGATGTGGACGGAAGCCGATCCAGCAGCATCTCACACTAATCCCAGAAGAGTTTCGAAGCCAACCCGTCCTGTTGGCTAATGTTTGTTGTGAAGCTTTTCTCACCGTGATGTTGAAAAATATCCCTGCTGTCGGCCGATTGGCCATGCTCCGTACACGCACAGGGTGCACACGCAGTTCTGGGCGGACCTCAACAACAACGTCAACATCACAACGATCGAGAACGAAGTATGGGCGAGAATGGCGGCGGATGCGGAGCGTGGTGGCAGTCCGCCCCCAGGAAGCCCACACAACACGACCTCGACACTTGGTCGGCGCCCGCCCGCGACAGTCGCAACGTCGGGAAGCAGGACAACGGTGGCCGTGAACGACTCCGAGAGCGCGAGACCCTCCTCAAAAGACAGCTCCCGTCAAGGTGCCGCGGGTGGCTCGTCGAAGGCGGTGGCTTGGTCAGATGACGATGCAGCCAAGGACGCGGGCCCTCCAACCGGCAATGACGCGGCGCTATCAGCACCCTCGTCAGAAATCTTTGCCGGCGTCCTTGGGTACGACGAACTCGGCCACGTTCCCACGCTGGACGAGTTTCGGTCGGAGTGGCCGAAATTGAAGTCCCGGGCGGGCTTGATGTCACCAACTAGCTCGGGGGAGAACAACGGACCCGGGGGCACTTCCAGGTGGAGGAACCACGCCAACGGACGGAGGCAGCAGCAGCAGCAGCAGCAGCAGCAGCAGCAGGGTTCGGGAAGCGTCGTGAATGAGCTTTCGAAGAGGGACGAGGTCTTCCGGCACTTCAAGAAGTACTACGACAAGGCCGACCACCTGGAAGGGAGGCCCGGCGACGCGCTGTTCCCGGCCGGGGTCTGCCCGACGGGCGTTCTTCAGCCCGACTTCGGGGTCGTCGAAGCGGTGGGGCGACACACCGCCAAGGCGCAGGAGTGGCGGTGCCGCAGCCGCATCGGGGAGGGCGTGCTGTGCCAACCCGGAGGTGGATCCGATGTGACTCGGAAAAGGTCGGGTGGGAGCGATCGGACACAACGGCGCTCGAGGGAAGGAACTGGGGATCTCGGCGACGGCGTTGGTCACTCCTCTGCATCCGGTGGTGACGGTTTCACGAACGTGTTCCGGGAGTCAATGCTAGGAGGCGATGGTCGCAACGAGACGCCCCCCCAAGGGAGTGGGACGGTTTCTTTCACCCATTCGAAGCGGGACGCGAACCGTGGGTCCGCGGGTTCCCGGCGAGGAAATGGAGACACTAGCTGTAGCGCCGAAGGCACCTCAAGCGGGACTACCGGACCAAACCACGGCGGGAAAAGAGTGAGGGGTTTACGCCCCGGTGGCTCTGTGTGGGGTGTTGACAGCGTACGCGCCAAAGCCTCTTCCGAGGGAAGCTCTACATCCGCAGAACTGCAAGTGAGTAGATGGGGTGTCCCACGGTGTTATTTGCGGTGGAAGGTTTGGCTCGAGTAGAGCACATGTCAACATTGTACTCAACGATATCTAGGCTCACTGTGCCTGACCAGATTCAAAACCCTAGGCCACGCTGCTTTCTTTGTTTTTCGAAATGTTTCCGTTGCGTACTGTTTTTTTTCTGTGATGGATACTCCTGAACAACGTTCTTCGCGCTTGGTGTCATGTCGAATGGAAATAATAGGTGGTCATTTTTCAAGGGAAAAGATTCTGTGCATTGGTCGCGTACTGTTTGATCATATGGTGCCGCCTTGACAAAGCTAGACGTGAGCCCTAGTTTCAATATTATTTCTGTTAGGCGTTCGGCTGCTGACAGGAGGAACAAGTAGTGTCTCCCCCCCAATCGACCACGCAAGTTCAGACTACCTCGTCATGAGGTTCTCCTGTCAACCTGTCCACTGTGAGTTGCTTTGCTGTCCCTCCGGTGGCGGCTATCACATTGTCCTTTGTGCGTCGAAACAATCGCAGGCAAGACTGGAGGCGTCGTGGAGAGCACTGCACGTGCCTGCCCGGCTGAAGCTCGACTTCCTGCAAAAGTACTGCACCGTCCAGAGGATTTTGGATCTTCCGAAAACGGCGTTCTTTCTCGAGACGGCCAGCAAGGCTGTCCCGCTGAGAGAAAAGGTAGGGGCCCAAGTATGAGCTTCATCCCAATAACTCTCAGTAGTCGCCAAGAGTGTTGTCTGTTCGAGGTGACACGAGCGAAAAGTACCTATTTATTGTTCCTGACTCTTGATGGCAGTGTGAAGCTGATTCGATGACAAGATTCGCATCCCTTGCGTTGAAATCGTATCTTAACTGATTATCCGTCGTGACATGTTTCGAATTGTGTACCGTTGACTGCAACCACGGAAGGGGTCCGAGTCAATCGGACCGGTACGGATACTAGAAGGTACTGAACAGAAACCGGAACAATTCTTGCAATGAAGACGACAACAAAATAACATCAACGCAGGACCTCTGCTCTCTCCAAGATCTTGCTCTCTCCGAGGTCTCATGCCTGAACGAGTGAAAAAAGGTGCATCATCTAACGAGTTCGTGTCCTCGTTTTCGACCGAAGGTGATCGACTACGTGCGTCGAATTGAAGACGACGGAGAGTCGATGACCACATCGTCGGTGTTCTCCCCCGCCGAAGAAGACATGCTCTACGAGCTGGACTGCTGGGAACAATTCGACGCGTTTGCTGAGCGCGTTCTCCCAGACGACTCGAACGGCAACGATGCGGACGACGACTCTGACGCTGAATCTCATGGCGGTGGTGAAAGCAAGGGAAGCGGTGCCGACGACGATCCTGGGGACGGGCACGGGGACAAGGAATCTACGGAGGAGGCCAGAAGACAGGCACAGCGTCGGAGAAGGCTAGAAAAGGAGGCGCGCCGGAAGGCGGCGGAGTCTTTGCTGGCGTGGCTGACGTCCATCGAGTCGAAACTGGCGCTAAAGTGCGCGGAGGTCTGCGACACGGCTTGGTACGACGTGGGAGAGACGATCACGTACAAGGGGCGGCCGGTCGCGTACACGATACCAGCGGCAGTCATGGAGACTGCAATAAAGAGGCGAGAAGATGGAGAGGACAGGGCCAAGCACGGCAGAAGAGCCCGATAGGCCCCGAATCATGCTGTTGTTGACCGGGTGTGGGGCTCGCCTTTTTTTAATGAAACTTAAAATGGCAGAGCTGGACTACGCTGTTGTTTAGGCAGAATGGGTGGATACCGTTCTTAAATCTGCGGTAAATGTCAAAAGGGGATTTCGGAGGAAACAGATCTGACCCCACCAGGACCAACCGTCAATCGGCGCTCAACCACTCGTTCAGCCTATTCGCTGTAACAGCATTAGTTTTTCGCTGATGCGCACTGTTTCTATTGGTATTGCTCCCGTGGCCTAGACGACCCAGTGTGCATTGTGCGTAGACCCCGTAATCCGCCGTGTACGGCGAAGAGCCGACAGGAGCGCATGAAGGGGACACATCCTTTCCTCTTGTGTCATCTTGCCCGAGGTGGCCTCGTGTTTCGCATGTCAGACACAAACAGTATTCACACTTGTTCCTCGAAGCAAGAACTAGATGAACGCAATCAGCCTGCGGGAACTAGCACCACACTGAGGCAACACGGAGCTCTGCTGCCTATCCCTAGTTCTTGTCGTACCGCGGCCTGGGCGCTAAAATGCTCCAGGTTTCTGCAGACAGATGGAAACAGCCATGCAACGGTCGAGTCGAATCGCGTCCGCATGAAACTCTCCCGGCGTATCAGCGCCTCCAAGTTCCCCAACACTGCTGTCACACGGGTCCTTTCTCGACAAGGCAGCTTTCTTGTCTCCACCAGGGATGGTATCTGTTGGCGCTTGTCTCCGGCCCCCGCCCCCTGCTGCCCGGCCGACGCCTCTTCTACAACCGCTTGGGCCAGCAGCGACGGTCTCCCCTTTCGACTTCGAGCAGTCCCGGTCCCGGAGCCGCAGCATCACGAGCTCTCGCGCTTGCGCGAAGAACTCGCTGGCGGACGGATAGTCTCCTGCCACGTACCGTTGCACTCCCATCCACTCCAGGCGGGGAAGCGGGTCGGAAAGCTCTTGCGACTTTTCGATCTCGGTGACAGGAAGAACGCCGTCGGGTGCATCGCCGTGCTCCCGGTATTTTGATGCAATTATTTGAGCCCGTGCGGAGTTTCCGGCGGCGGCGGTGTGGTCACCTATTGCATAATTTAGAATTATTTTCACCATAAAGGGCTAAAACGTTAAGGTACTGGCAATGGAGGGTCCGAGGTTAAGCCTTGAGTGTCGGTTGGGAAAGAATCGCGACGTTTTGTCCTAGCTCACTTTCAAGCCAGCATCTCACGATGACGATAGTATGCAAGGGGAAGTAAATTACGAAGCTTTCGCGAGGTGCCGTTTCATGTGTGCTTACTCCCACCTGCTAGCATGTCGGCGTACGACAGCACCGTTAATGGGGTTATAAGGTCCAAGCTCTCGTGCCCCCCTGGCATGTCAGACTGGAGGATTTCCTCATAGCTCTCGAGGCATGCGCGCAACAGCGGACGGGCCTCTTCCACCCTACCCTCCGATAAATAGTGAAGGCCAAGGTTGCGAGTCGCGGCATCCACTAAGTGCTTCCGATGTGGGCCCCTGCGGCACGCCTCGCACACGACGGGGGAAGGGGGCGTCGGGAGGGAGAAAGCATTCAAGCGTGGAAGCACGACCGGTAGTGTCGCACGTCTGCGCGACGACTATCAGAGCCGACCGCGTCTAGATAATGTTGGTTCTTGCCTTCAGATCCTGTACTATGTGCAGCAAAGCGCATCAGCTGCTTCCGATGGCGTATGGACCCCCAGCATCATACATGGTCCCGACGCCATCCACCCATGTGGCTGGTGAAAATTATTCCTCAGAGAAAGGCCTCGACCCTAATGCTCTACCCGGTTGGTCGACAGCAGTCGCACCTAGCAGAGGCATTCGTAGTTGACGGCGAGGCGGCGTTCAGAGACGCCTCCAAGAGCCCCGAAGCCTCTTCGGCTTCTCCTAGTTCACGGCACACTACCCCGAGGTTTCCGAGCGCCACGGCCAAAGCTCCAGGCTCGTGCCGAGATGGTGGTGGTTCACAGCTTCCTCCGCCTGCAGCCGGCTCGCTTTTCAGAAGCTCAACTAGACTCTGCAAGTGGCCCTTGGCATCCTGTTGATTGAGGATTTGGAGTTGACCGAGAATGGCGGAATGTTTGTTTTCATATACTCGCTTTCGGATGGATCCCGCTGACAGCATGTTGTTAGGCCGAGCTGGCTCCCAAAGTTCGTGTAAATAGTTTGATAGCAATCATCGAGACAAACCAGCCCATGAGGAAACCTTCGGGCATGTCGTCTTCCATCGCCCTCGGGGGACTTGACACCGACGTCCGGAAGGGAGACCTTGGATAAATATAGTCTATCCATCCATATATCGCATGTATTCTCTGATCGTCACGGTTCGGTCCACTTCCAACACCCCGCCCACCTCCAGTCTCCCCGCCGCTCGACACAGGCCACCAAGCCTGCCGAGAGTTGTGTGGGTGCCTGCGTGCCTCTCTCCGAACGTGCCTCTCTTCATGTCAAGCGTTTGCAGCTGTGACCTTGTCTCGGGATCGGTTTCCGTCTCCCATGGTCTGCATTGGTCGAATCGCGGAGTTTGGTGCAGCAGATGGGTGGTTTTCTCAAGTGGGAAGAAAGTGACGACCCCGTGTGGGATTTGACTAGTCGGCGTACTAGGCAGTGCGCGACAAATCCCGGGAGTGCGTCTCGACGCGGGTTGGCGTGGGGCGGAACAGGGACAACACAATCTCGCACCTGTAAAATTATTCGAAACGTGTATACACCTTCCGACCTGTACCCTGTCCAGCTCGATGCGATACTTCCTAGATATCCCGCTTGTGGAAATTCGCAAGGCGAACGATTGTAGGTCTACAAACGAGGCATATTTCGAGACCCGCGAAGCGCAGTACCCCTAACCTGGGTAGGACTTTTACTTTTCGATGACGCACGCTAGCACGTGAAGGGCGGGCATCCTTTACCTCAAGGGCCCTTCTCCCCTAGACTCCTTGATCTTTTGCGTCTGAGTGGCCGTCAAACCCAGCGGCCTCCAACCGTCCAGGAGAGTGACGACCTTGCCTCTTTGTCGATATTCTGCGAGATGTTGCGCGGTTTCTCCTTTGCTGTCTCTTGCCGTCTTGTCGGCTCCCGCCTGAAGGAGAGCGAAGCACACCTGATGACGATGAACGGTGGTGGAGCGACGGCCGAGTTCAAGGTTGATGCCCCCGTTTCGGGCTGTTACCCTGGCGAGTGTATTTTGTCTTGTGGTACTGAAGCGGGACTCTGCACGTTTGGGAGACCCTTTGGACTGAATGATCATCTCAACAACGGCCGACGCGCGTCAATCATCTAGGCAGACAAGGGAACGACGCACGGGTCCGAGCTGGAGATCGCGACCATGATAGCCCAACCCAGTCACACGATTTCGCCGCCCGCTACCCTTTTCCCAGCCGTTCCTTGACAACATATACTTCGATGCACACGCCTTTCCCGTATGTGTCCACACGCAGCAGCCAACGCACGATATATAAATAAATATATGTGTGTCTCCTTCTGAGACCTTAGCACCTACCTCGTACGTTCCCCACCCGGCAGCAAGGTGAAGCGGAGTCCTCCCGCCGGGCGCCCTCGCCCCTACAAACGCCTGGTTCTCTATCAAAACCCTGACCGTGGCGAGCTTCCCTTGCCTCGAGGCGAAGTGCAGAGCGGTCCAGCCCGAATCCGGGTCCCGTGCGTCAACGTTCGCACGGGGCAAGGAAAGCATGTAGGACAGTCTGGAGAGCGGCGTGCGGTGTATGGGAGGCAGGGCAAATTCAAGCGAGATGGGGGGGCTGATGTGATGCTGGTGGTTGGCGACGAAGGTGGGCGAGGGCTGTGCAACACGTGTGCTGAAATCGGTTACAACATATTGAGCAGTATCATAGCATGTTTTGGGGGGAAAATTCCAAGTGACCCGCCAACCTTCTAAGTTCGACACACAACGATTCTCCGGTTCATCCGGAGCCGTCGCGTGCCAACGTCGGGGAAAACAGCCAAGAAAAAGTGACACATGCTTCAACAGACAAGTGTTAACCTACCACTTGCCAACGTCTACATGGAGTTTTTTTTGCCACATGTTCTCCCTAAGATTCTGGTCTGAAGGCAGCTCAACAACCAAGCGGGGATTGTTCGTCTCGGTGCCCCCCCCCCCTCTTTTCTAGGCCCCAGAAGAGCATCAAAGTTCTATACACGTCTAGCTTCCCGTCAGCTGATGGCAGTCGTCGGGAATGCGGCTCTTCGTTCGTGGTGGCTGTTGCCCCGCTCTAGACACATGGCATTGTTGTCTCCTAACCCCATTGGTTGTGATCAATGACCTCCGGGATAAAACTCCTCACTGCCCCACCAAAAGCGCTTCCCACGACATGCATGCCGTGCCGAACGAAACACACCTCTTGTCTTCTCCAGACTTTGCCGCAGACCACACGCTCCAGACATCGTCGCTGCTGCAACGGTTCTTGCGCTGTTGAGCCTTCACCTCCATGTATCTTCCTTGCCTTGCTCGTTCGAGATCCCTTGCGCATCGAGAAGGGGGGTGCGCCATGCACGACGAAGCGCAATGCCGGAGGTCGACCTCAGCTCTTGTGAATGCAGGGAGACCCAAAGGCGCGAGACTCTACCTTCATTCGCGGAACTTGGTGTGTTCCAGTCATTATAGACCGAAAGATGTACAGGAGAACATGCTACTGGTACATACTACGATTCAAAGGAGTATTGCCCGACCACTCGCGTGGCCACGCATTTTAAGGTTGAGGATAGCCAAGCAGCTGGCACTGCCGACCGGACCCACCCGACAACACAAGTGGAAATACCTTCGCAGCGCCCGACTAAGTGCCGCTAGCTCGGCCTGTTGTACGCCCAACAGCTGGTCTCTCTCGCGCTTAGCTTGTTGGGTAAAGCCGGTCTCTGCTAGGACTTTCGCCCAGAAACCTCGTTCGAGAGGTGCAAGCTTCCGCCGAACCTGATAACGTCGGTAAGGAAAGTCTCATCTGGACTGAGTTGTTTGTTCCCAGGCAACTAGTTAGCGAAACGCCGCTGTTTGAAAGGATTATTGCAATAATTTCCCCCCCTGCCTATGGGCGCTGAAGCTGAAGCACCTCGCATTGTTGAAGTACAAACTACTAAGCGCGTGTCGCTCTTCGTGTTTGCGCACAACACACGCGCTGAGAAAAGGGCGTTTATTTCCCGCTCGAAAACAATAACGATACTGGCGGACGATTGGCATGGCCATCAGGCTGTCGTACCTTCTCTGCTTCTTCTACTCTTCCCAGGCGGGTGAGATTCTCCCTCGAAGCTTTCATCGTAACGAGCCTTCCATTCAGGGGGATGGCTGACTTCGCCTCATCTCGGGATGATCTTTGGTGCTATGGTATTTGGCCGAGTGCCAGGAGAGAAGTTAAGGGATGTGAAGATACCGACAAGCAGTTGGTCGTCAGATCGTCGTCAAAACGAAGCAAGAAGCCCGGAGCGTTCGTTGCGAGCTTTTTTCGGAATTCTGTCACCAGTAGCCGTTACCGTACCTCGAAAACGGACCCTCTCAAGAAACAGTTTAGTGAGTGTCCTCGTACCATGGCACTTTGTTCTCTGTTGGGTTGAAGTACACGCGGGACTGCAGTCTCCTATGGGCTATCGCGGAGGAGCTGCAGGTCAACGACAAGAACGACTTTGTCGCGTGAAGATAGCAACACCAGCAGTCGTGGCTGGCGGCTTTAGGTGGTCCATTCCTATGATTTGGCGTACATTCAAAGGTGAATCACCTCGTTACAGCAGTCTACACTCTAGAACTCTTTGTCTACGAAGCTGTTGTGTCGGGGTGGGGATACCTGTGCAAGAGCTTTCCGCTCCCGCCGATGCTTGCTCTCTAGTTCTCGTGCTTTGTTGGCAGCCTGTCTATCCAGGGTGAGTATTCTTTCGTCCCATTGTCGTTCGAGTTTGACCAGATTCCTGCGTACCAGTAGAGCAAATATGCAGCAAATAATGCGCATGACAGGCTGTAGAAGGGAGCATGAGGTTATGCTGCTCAGTGTGACTAAGCAATTTTGGTTGGTTTCGCAGTCTCTTGGACCTCAGGTGACAAGAAGTTCCACGCGGATGGGCCGCGAACACTCCGGACAGCAAATAAATGGCCAATCAAGCAGAGAGGAACATCCATATCCCGCAGCCTAGCCAGCAGCCTAGCCAGCAGTACAGGAGGTACGGCCTCTGTTCGCACTAATGTAGTACTGCTCTGAATTGAAGTCAATTTGCGCTAACCAGGGCGTGTCGAGAGTCTCCGAGATTGCCTTACCACCGAAGCGGGCCGAGAGCCACATCGGATTTGGCTTCAATTCCGTTCATATGAGTGCAGTCCCCCCCTCCACGCCGTGCTTCTCTGCTGTGTGGTGCTGTGGTGCTGTGGTGCTGTGGTGCTGTGCTCTGTGGCTCTGTGGTACGTAGCTTGGAGTTGCACATTGCACATTCCGTTGAGAGAACCCGAAAAGGAACAAAAAATGCGGCGAGATAGCGAGAGGGGGGAGGTGGGGGGGAGCTGCTGCAGGGTCGCAGCCGCGCAAGGATAGTGACCTACAGAGCATACCCAGCACAAGAGCTGCATTCCCGCTGGGCTGCGCGGTTTCTGAGCGGTATCTCGTTTGCGTTGCCGGCACCCTGTAGTCTCGTGCGTGTCTTGGAACCCACCTTCGCGTCTGCGCAAGGCAGATCGACAGCAGAGCAGCTGAGAGAGGAGAGGAGAAGAGGGGAGGAGAGAGACAGAGGGCGGAGGGATGGAAAGCGGTCACAATGCCCAAGTAGCTCAAGGAGTGCAAGCGCGTGAGCGACGAAGGTCGTCGATCTCGCTGGCTATCCCAGTCTGCGCTCACCAGATGACTGCATCAGTTGAGATACGTAACGACGAGGTGGAGTTTGAGGCGCACGGCGTAAAGATCAGCCACGAGGGCCTGTTCATCGAAGGCACCAACGTCAGCGAGATACACCAGGACGATTTGCGCGTGCTCCGCGAGCTCGGTCGTGGGGCCTGTTCAGTGGTCAAACAGGCTCAGGTGCGCAGAAGAGCGAGAGAGCAGTGGCTCAACGAACACAAATCCACAGCTGCCAAATCCACTCCACGGAGTGTCCTGAATTCAAGCGCATCGAAAATCACAAAACGACCAACGACCACCAGAGGCAAATTTTTTGCAACAATTTCGGAACAAATGAACAAATGTAACACGTCGCCATCATTCTCTTCTGATGAAACGGACGTTTGCCGCGTGCTCCAAGCAATGATGCATATCGCTGGCGTATTTTGGCACTGCTGTGTTCTGGTATTCTGCGCGGCATGCATGCTAGATACGGATGTGGCAGCGGTTACCTGCATTGGCCTGCTCGGAAAGCTGCTGCAGTACGTCCTCGTGCATGTACACATGATTATGATGTGCAGCACCAAAGAGGGGCGGTTCCACGTTGTGTATGCATGGGATACGCCCATGGAATGCCAACTGGATCCATTGCCGTTGTTGGCAAATATGCAAATATGCTGTCCATCGCATAGTTTGACTATGGGTGTTGTGTAGGGCCTACTGCCACGTCAGGGATTTTTCTGCGGAATATGGTGATTCTTGTCATATCCTGGAATTACGAATTACTCTTTCCCCGGTAAGTATACTATAAATAGCACGGGCAGTGTCTTCGCCAGAAAAAAAAAGCTACGTACATAGTCTACATTCGTTCGTGGCATATGGATATTCATGCACAGGCCCATGTTTAATCTGTTTCCTGGTATATCCTTAATTATTGGACCCATTTTCGTTGAGCAACGGGTTGCGTGATGCCAATGCAGCCAGCCATCCGTATGCGCACTTCTACTGTACCGGAGTACTAGAAGTACACCACAAACCAACACGAGTTTGCGCGCAGCACGTGGAGACGCGCTGTACGCCATCAAGGTGTTCAGCGTTGAGCAACGGTTTGCGTAATGCGAATGCAGACCAGCCACCCGTACGCGCACTTCTACTGCACAGCAGTACCGTAATAGTCGGAGAGTTGGCGCCGGCCGGAGAGATGGCACCGGTTGGAGAGATGGCACCGGGGTGCGATAAAAAACCCGAGAAAAAAAACTATAGTTCGATTTACGCACCGGGGTCGGTGAGATCGCACCGGGTGCGATCTCTTGAGCTCCTTTTCAGCTGCCGGAATGAAGTACATGTTACACGTGGGGACGGTGTCAGCGGAGTGCCACTCGTTTATTTACGATTGGATGGTCGCGGTTCACGCGGGGTGTCAGTTGTTCTCATTTTTTAATTGGCATGGAAGTTGCCAACCGTACACTCAACCAAACACACAACGTACAAGCCGCACCCCACCTTACACAACCCGAAACTGTTGTACTGCTACGTACGTACTGGTATCCGTAGAAGAAGACCGAAACGAAAGCGGGAAACAATCGATACCGTGTGTACTGGTACCACCTCAGATGGAAACGACATCGTTTGTTGTTGTTACGCCATAGCCAAACTCGCATCAAACACAAGACCACTCGCTGCATGGAAAGCTGTTACGTGCCAGCCTACGTTGCCGTTACCGGTGTGCTTCCAACCAACAACAACGGTACCTAAACGTGTGGTTCTGTCCTGATCAACAACGGTAACTAAACGCGCAGCACGTGGAGACGCGAGAGCTGTACGCCATCAAGGTGTTCAGCGTGTTCGACAAGGACAAGCGCTCGCAGCTCCTGAAGGAGGTGGAGACGCTGTCCAGCATGGAGTGCCCGAGCCTTATCAACTTGGTGGGGGGCTACCTCAAGGCACGTCAGGGGACACTAAATCGAAAATAGCAGTCGTTGAGAACGGATAGGAACAAATGCAGCTGTCGCTACAGATGATTGCGAGTAGATAGCATTGGGTGGAACCTTGGAGAGAGCGTGCTGTAATCGTGACTGCAGTAGCAAGGTGTGTTTTTGCTGCCTCTGCAAAGAAGCCTGCAACAACTCTCAACAAAAGGGTGGCCCTGTTCAAATGCACATTTTTTTTCTGGTGTACATTGGTGTAGTCATGTTTTTACTTGTTTCGGTGGGATGCGCGTATAGGGAGGCAAACAAGAGTAGTACTCTAGCACAAAATTCTGTGTACTGGGTAGAGATGCTCTTGCCATGACAGCTCGAAGGCTGCAGAAGGCTGATGCTCCTCCCGTTTCCAGTTGCGTAGAACTGAACAACCCGTCTCTCAGTGTATATCTCTCCTGGTGGCGTTTAATGGGGCACATACTCCTGCCGCTTTCTCTTCATGCCAACCTGGTTGTTCGATCGCTTGTTGTTGCCCCCCCTGCCTGCAGGACGGCAGCATTCACGTGGTGCTCGAGTACATGGACCGCGGCAGCTTGTCGGACGTGATCCATGGCTGGCGCGGAATGGACTACGGGGAGGACCTCATGGCCGCCATCACACTTCAGGCACGACCTTGGGTTATGCTCTCTGGCGCGCTCATGTGGTTGCTGCTCCTGCTAATATACGGGGGGCATAGGCCTAGTTTTGGGCGGTGCTTGTTCAGTCTGACAAAGACGGGGTCCAGACCAAACCCAGTTTGTTTTCCTCTCTTATTCTCCCGTCTGCCGTGTTGCGGTAGTGGCTCCTTGGGGTTCTGTTGGGAAGCGATCCCCTTTGTGTAGCAGCTGCGAATCTCAGCCCCGCCTCTTGCCGTACGGTGCAGATACTCTGGGGGCTGGGCTACCTTCACTACGAGCACCACGTTCACAGAGACGTCAAGCCCCAAAACGTGCTGCTGAACAGGTAAGCAAAGCCGCGATTGGAGGTCGCCGAAAACCCAAGCATCCCTCACGGGAAAAATTCGACGCATGCCCCGGCTATAAAATCCTGATCCTGCCCGTACCGAGTGGGAGAGCAGATGACCACCAAAGTGCCGATTCCGCGTACTGCCTTCTCCCCTCATCCCATGCCCCCTTTTGTTGCCGTTTTTGGATACGGAAGGCGGCTGTGGTTTCATTTCACCTTGTCATTACGCCCGCTGTCTGGATGGTTACAGTATCTGCACCCCGTGGTTGAAGGGCTTGAAAGACTGTCAGGGATTGGCTCCGAGAGATTACTTCTCGTTGACGCTATTTTGTGGCACGCCATCGAAGATCCTGTTCGGTTAGGTCATTCTATCAGCACTCTTGCTTCCCGCGATGGATTTTCGACTGACGGTGCCCCCTTTCGGACGATCTCACCGACCCTGGTGATGGATGTGTATCGCTTCATGAAACTGCCTGCGCTTGCTGCCAACGGTGTCACTTGCGACGATGTTTGTGCTTCAGCCACGGGGAGGTGAAGCTGAGCGACTTCGGGATTGCGCGTGAGCTGCAGGGAGAGATGGTGAGTGGAGCGTTCAACTGGCCCTCGTGAGGCCGCTCTTAGTATTGACTCGTTTTCGATATCAAGGCCTAGCCTCGGCATGCTGTCTTGAAGAAAGCCGCTGCGAGCATTTAGGCATTCGACCCCCCCCCTCGCCCCCCCCGGTGTTTGCCCTCGGGGTTGGGTTTTCGTCGCTTGGCAACAACGTTGTACAACAAGCCAATTCACTTCGTGAACTCGGCAACCAGGTTACCGGGTTTTTTTACCTCTGATTTTTTTTTGCGGTAACCATAATGGTGGTCGAGTAGATCATGTTGTACGGGGTGGAGAAACCTCATTCCGCGCAACGGGGGATGATCGCACCACGTTGTGTTAAAATGGTCAAGCACCCTCGAGGCAGTTACACAGTGCTTATAACTGTCTCTGGAAGTGAAAGCACCAGAAAATAAATTAAGTCATACGCAGCTGTCATCCGTACGCAAGGAAGTAAGCACAAGATGCCGAACACCCTTAGCAGAATGCAGCGCACCCTTCATGCGACTCGCCGAATACCTCACGTGGCTTCGCGCTTGGTGATGTGAGAGCCTGGTCCGGTGAGAACCCGGCGTGCTCCGTCCCGGCTTTGTAGGGATACGAGGTCGATGGTCTAACGAGTACGGCATGCACGACTATGAGTACACCCCCCCCCCCCCCC